AAACCCCAGGACTTGTGGGGCTCCTGGGGGGCTGGGGATTGTGAGGTCCTGAGGGGGATGCCCAGGGAGGGTGCCCAGGGAGGGTGAGGGGTACCAGGGGTTTGGGGGGGCTGGAAGGCCCCAGGGGTGCTGGCTTTGGGGATACGGGGAGGGGGGTTGGGGGTTTTGGGTGGCTGGTGAAGGTTGGGGGGTGCCCGAGGAGCTGGGTTTTTGGGGGGTTCCCATGGGGCCAGGTGGGTGCTAGTGTTGGGGGTCCCCAGGGCCGGGGTTTGGGGGGGCAGGTCCCCACCTTCTCGATGAGTTGGACCAGGACGTCGCGGGCGCGGGAGAAGTTCCCCTCCCCCACGCTGTCCGAGGCGTCGATCACCAGGTAAATGTTCATGGAGCCGCCGGCCTCGATCCGGATCCTCCGCTTCACATTCTCCGCTGGGGGGGGCGGGGGGTCAGCGGGCGGCCGGACCCCCCTCCCCCGGCAGAGCCCCACACCCTCTGGCAGGGCCCCTCGCTGCAACCCCCCTCCCCTAACACCCAGACAGGACCCTCCCACCCCCCCCACATGCCCCTGGCAGACCCCCTCCCAGCAACCAGGCCTCCCAGCCACGGCCCCCTGCTGCCCCCCCACTACAAACTCCCTGTTCCTGCCCCCCCAGCCTGTGATCCCCCAACTCCAGCAGGCTGCCCTCCCCCACAACTGCGATCCTCCCCCAGCCAGTCCCCCCCAACTGCGATTCTCTGCCAGACCCCCTGCAACCCCCCTGGGCTGAGCCCCCCTATGTGATCCTCCCCCAGCCCCCCCCACGTGACTCACAGGTGGTCCGGTTCGGATCAGCTACCTCCACGGTCTCCGAGAGGGAGGCGATGAACGCGGAGGACACTTCCTGGGGGGTGTCGTAGGTGGACGGGTCTGCGGGGGCAGGAAGAGATGGGGGACTGAGAAACTGGGGATCACTCCCCCCACGCCGCCCCCTCCCCCGATCCCACGCCGCCCTCCAATCCCCTTGCGCCGCCCCCCTCCCCCCCCCACTCTCACTCACCTCGACACTCCGGTTCGGTCCCGCTCCAGGCGCCGGACTCCTGGCAGGTCCGTTCTTTGGACCCGAACATGACGAGCCCCCGGCCGCACCGGTACCGGACCCGGTCCTCCACCCGGTAGTGCTGCCCGTCCTTCGTCGCCCCGATGGGGACGCCAGGGTCCGGGCACTGGCCCTCTGCGGGGAGAAGGTGTGTTAGCCCGTGTTGGGGCCGTGCCGGGGTGTGTTGACCTGTGCTGGGACACGTCAGCCCATGTCAGGGCATGTCAGCCCATGTCAGGGCATGTCAGCCCATGTCAGGGCGTGTCTGGGTGTTAGCCCGTGTCAGGGCGTATGAGCCCACGTTGGGGCGTGTCTGGACATGTCAGCCTGTGTTGGAGCCGTGTCAGGGTGTGTTAGCCCATGTTGGGAGCATGTCAGGACATGTCAGCGTGTGTTGGGGCTGTGTCGGGGTGTGTCATCCCATGTCAGGGCCATGTCTGGGCGTGTCAGCCTCCATTGGGGTGTGCTAGCTTGTGTTAGCCCGTGTTGGGGCCGTGCCGGGGCGTGTTATCCCGTGTCAGGGCGTGTCGGACGTGTCCGGGCGTGCGGCTCCCCCTCACCTCCGTCGTCGCAGATGGCCGTCCCCCGGCTCCACTTCCCGTTGGGCAGGCAGGTGCGGTTCTGGGGGCCGCGCAGCGTGTACCCCTCGAAGCACTCGAAGGTCAGCGTCTGGCTGATGTTGTAGCGCGGCTGGCGGGGGTGGAAGTGCCCGTTGTCGAACTCCAGCGGGCCCGGGCACTGGATGGCTGCGGGGACAGGGGGACGGTCTGTCCCGGGTGCCCCCCATGGCCCCCCGCTTCCTCCTGACACCCCCTGGCACCCAGACATCCCCCCCAGCCCCCCGCCTTCCCCCATGGCCCCCCGCCTCCCCCCGGCACCCAGACACCCCCCAACCCCCAGACACCCCACATGGCCCCCAGACCCTCCCCGGCCCCCAGACACCCCTCAAGAACCCCCAGCCTTCCCCTGGCACCCCCTCGGCTCCCAGACCCTCCCCAGCTCCCAGACACCCCGCATGGCCCCCAGCCTCCCGAACTCTCAGCCCCGGCCCCCCGGCCCCGCACCTCTGCACTCGGCCTTGGCGAGGGGGCGGCCAGCGGGGGGGTTCAGGGGGCTCCAGCGGCCGTTGGAGCGACACTCCCGGACGGGCCGGGGGTACGGGAACTGCCCCTCGGGGCACTGGTACACCAGCATCTGCCCCTGGCGCTGCAGCCGGGCCGAGCCCCCCACGATCGGCGCCGCCTGGGGGTCGCAGCTCGGGGCATCGCTGGCAGCTGCACCTGGGGGGAGCCAGAGCGTCAGGGCGAGGCCAGGGACCCCTCCACATCCCCCCCCGCGGCACCGGGACCCCCCCGATTACCCCCCCAATCCCGCCAGGGGGTGCCCAGCCATTTGTGTGGGACCCCCCCCAAATACCCCCCCAATCCCGCCAGGGGGCGCCCGGCCATTTGTGTGGGACCCCCCCCAATCCTGCCAGGGGGCGCCCAGCCATTTGTGGGGGACCCATAAAAACCCGCCTGGAGGGTAGGGACAATATGTGTAGGACCCACCCCAATTATTCCCCCCTTTCTGCCTGAGCCCAAGGGGGGGGGACTAGCTGTCAGGGGGGTTATGGGGGTTTCTAGCCAGGTTGGGGCCCCTGAGCTGGGAGGGGCGGGCAAGGGCTGGCTGGGTTGGGGGGTCGGGGGGGCACTAATTGGTGGGCGCAGGGTGGAGGGGCTCTGTGCGTGGGGCTCGCTGCACTAAGGAGCCTGGCTGAGGGGCTGACTTGGGGGCCAGGTTGTGGGGCCGGCTGTGGGGAGTTGAGGGGCTGTGGGGGGGCGGTTGGGAGGAGCCAGGGGGCTGGGTTAGGGGCTGGGCAGAGGGAGCCGGGGGGCTGGGTTAGGGGGCCGGATGGAGGGAGTTGTGGGGCTGTGGGGGGCTGGGTT